AGTTAAATATACTCAAAAGTAACATAATTAGCTATTAAAGAAAAAAACAATCATAATAAAGAGAGTCAAAATTCACTAGGGATTGAATTGGAAAAATTGAAAAGTATTTAGGGTAAAAAATATAGGCTGCGTTTGGTTCCACTGTTTTTACCAAAAACAGTTTTTGTAGTCAATATACAAACGATGGTCAACAGGTTGTATTTAAAATGCTACAGTCCTGCTCAATCCATACGGTACCGTTTAGCAGCCCAAAATGTAAAACAAGTCTCGTTCCTCCAATCACCTCACCTAAAACTTTCCCTTCTTCACTTTCCTCTTCACTACAGCAACAACTGAGGTACATAAATCGGACACAAATCACCTCCAGTTAAGAGCTCATGTGCTTCTAATCCGTTGATGTTCGGTGGCGCGCAGCTAGAACAAGTTGGAACCTAGCTTCTCCAAGAGCATTTGCAGCTTATCAAAGGCTCCGCAAACCAGTGAAGAAGGAGCTAAGTATCCGCCCGGGACCACGAATGAGTAGCAGCAGGAGCCACTATCAGAAGTACCGAACTAGCATAATTAGCTTGGTAATCAGCTTGGAAGTGGCGTTTCGATCGCGATTCTACTTGCTCAGCGAAGGAGAGTGAAGTTTCCGCCGCTACTCAGCTGTTGCGTCGTTGAGGTTGGTTGAACTGTTCACTTAATTGGGCCCTAATTCGTACTTTGAAAAATTTTGAAACCAGCATTTTTTAAAGCCTCTGAACTACCATTGTGCTGATAGTATATGGTAGAGACAGAGGCTTCGTTTAATCTCCCCAACTCTGCGGTGGCGGAGTAGTAATTTTCTTAAGTTTCGGTTTGGAACTAATTTTTGCAATTCACACTGGCATCTTCACCATTTATTTGCTTTCAATTCTCTTCCCCGCATATGTGATGAGTATGGCCCAATTAGTTAGGACACAAGGGACGTATACCACCATATTGTCAAATATTTAGCATTGCTGCACTTGCCCATTTCTGGCGCGCATAGGAGATATTTTAGCAGCAGCTCATGGTATATATGCATCGTGTTAACTGGGTGAATATCGATGCTTTTTTGTGTATTAGATAGTTGATAAATTTGTGAGCTGTTAGCTTAAATTGATCCGTATATTAATGCCAGTTATCTATGAATAGGGTATTTGTTCCTACACTTTTATTTTGGATAAGAAATTTGATCAGTTGGTTGTACATATTAAGCACCACTGCTATTTTTCTTGAGTTTTTGCAATTGGATTACTGAAATTATATGCCCCCTGTGATATTTGGGCCAAGCTGGTGGAATACCGATTATTTTTTGCTGCTGTTGTTGTTGTACTTGAGCCACTGGCTTTCTTAATTAGTGAAGTTTTATTGGGTGGGCTCGCGAAATTTTAATTAGTCCTACGCAGCGGTTGCAAATTGAGGACCTTTTAGCTGTGATTCGTTTCGTTTTGAATGCAACATAAGCTGGCCTTATTCGAAACTTTGCTCTAATTCTTATGTGAAGCTGTTTTGGATCTGTGAGAGTTTTTTCCCATAATATGATAACCTGACCTGAATTTCGATTTCTATTTTGGAACTGTTTTATTTGCTTGGTACATTAAAATGGATGATATTTTGTGAACATTTTATGCGTAAAGCCTGCTAATAGCATTTTAAAAAGTACCTTGTACATATTTTTAGGATTGTGATGCCCCCTGTGACTCGGAGTGCTTTGAAGGGTAAGGAGCAACTATTGTGACAATTAATTATTAAAAATTCTGATCCGAAACATCTGTAGTGCTCGGCTTTTTAACATCCTTATTTACAGCTTTGCAAACGACTAGGGGTGCTAACAGTTGTTCTTTATATTTGGCTACGGGAGAAAACGATTTGCGTCTTTGTATAACAAACTACTTCAAGGTGAGTTATAACTGACTAGGTGAAAAATTTCTGTGAACGTGTCCCAATATTCCCTTAGAATGTATCTAATTTCCCGTTTAAGGCCACCCTAAGCCTGTTTTCTGGTTTTGACTTTCCTAAAGAAAACAAAGATGCCCAAACCAAAAGCAAATAAGGAACGTAACGCTTTCACGCCGAAGATGGAAACTGCCATTGCACAACAACTTGTGAACATGCATAGGAATGGGAAAATATCATCACAGACCATCGGGAGCCACGTTGTCCCTCAGATTACTAGGATGCTCACTGAGACTTTCGGGGTTTCACTCCCCCGAGACAGTATTCGGTCGAAGTACTATGCGCTTCAAGACTTAACTAGGCTTTACATTTCGTTCAAGAAACGTGGCACTGGTATGGGCTGGGACTCAACCAACTTCACCTTCATGATGGATGATAAGCGATGGAGTCATCTACTTCAGGTATAATACTTAGCCCTATCCTTTAGCTTATAAGCTGTTATCGTTATATATTTTCTTTTACAAGCTTGGTTTACAAAATTTTGGTAGGTTTTTTGACCATTATTAGTTGTATGTATTGTTCAGCTGTGAATTTGCCTTATTTATTTGTAAAAGTTGTTTGTTCCTAACAGCTGTTGTGTTAAATTGTTAATTGGGCTTTTGCTTATTTCTAAAACCTGTTTTATTCTTCTGTAGGTCAACCAGGGATACATTAGATTTAGGAACCACTCTTGTCTGGTCTTCCATTTGCTTGAAGAAGTCTTCATGAATCAGGGGGCTACAGGGGATTTTAGCGCTGGCTTTGGAGTATCGCCCCTCAATTCGGGCGATGAATTGGAAATGGAACACGCTGCGAGACATGGTAGGGGCAAGGGGGTTGTGGATGTCGATTCATCAGACGAAGGAGCCGTTCTTGTGACCCGGAAAGGGAAAGAGAATGTTAAGAAAGGCAAAGGAAAGCGTAAATCGGGGGACATGTCAACTGAGTCATTCTTTGCGCCGTCCTCCCCCCAATTCCAGAAATACGTCCGGGTTTTAGACAGCATCAAGACACGATTGAGCGGTAAAGGGACCTCTGGGATCTCCAGTTCGGTCTCTTCTCCTGCTAAGAGTAAAAAGCCTCCAGTTGATAAAGATGAGGAGCTGGAGGCTGCCTTGGCCACTTTGAGCAGTCTGAAATTGGACCCAACTGTGCGCTTCCAGATGGCCGATCTGCTAAGGAATCGGTATGAGCGTCTCATTTGGTTCTTATGCGTGGACGACAAGGACCGCCTTGCCTTCGTGAGACATCGGGGCTTCCTCCCCCCCCCTTAGCACCTCGTTCTGTCCAACCCGTGACTATTGCGGCAACCTTCGTCTTAGTTTTCCCCATGCCTTAAAATTTCATATGTTCATTTGGATTTATGTACTTGGAGTTGACATTGGCCTGTGTTATTCATTTCTGTACTGTACCGTGGAACCAATTTTGTTTTTTTTTTCTGTTGAGGTGAAGTTGAGGTTACAAAAATTTCTGATAATTTATTTGGTTGCGTTTATAAATGTTGGTTGAAGTAGTTTACTATATATTATTTGTTGGGCAATGGTGCAAGGATTTTGATTTTGTGTGACAGGAGTTGCCGCTACATTTTTTTGTGAGCCGATGGTCAACTTTGTTTGTATATTTTTTAACATTTGGATCTGGTTCAGGTTATTTCTGAATACCTTCTGCATATTCAGGGACCATCGTGTGCTAAATAATTTGAGTGTGCTTCTCAATATTGGTTGCAGTAGTGCTTGTCAGTATTGGTTGTTAGGAAATAGTGCAATGGCGTATATATTGGGGAGCCATGTTCCTAAATTAATTTTATTGGCATCATTTAATATTGTTACTTTGTTCAATTCTGTTCTCACATTTGGATTCGGGCCTGTTCTCATTTTTTCCTTGTGCCATTCAGGGAATGTTTACATAATTTACTTGTGCTGAGGATAGCAATATTGGCTGATGTTGTTCACTAAATATCAATTGTGGCTCCGTAAAAGTGCAATGGCTAATATTTTGTGTACTCGTAGTTGCCATATAAATTTTTTGGTTAGGTGTTTTTTGGTATTAATTATTCAGTTATTTTCTCAAATAGCTGGGTTAATGTCTGCTAATTTAAACTCCTTTATGTACCTGGCTTATGTCTGCTAATTTATTTGTCCTGTGATTATAAGTATTGGTTGAAGTAGTTTACTACATATTAATTGTTAGGAAAAAGTGTAATGACTATTTCGTGTAGTTGGAGTTGCCATATTTTGGAGTTGAAATTGGAATTTGTTTAGTTATTTTCTCAAAAGGTAACGAGACCCGGGCCTGTTTTTTGGTGTTCCTTTCCGTAATATTCAAAGATTATGTACTTTATTTGTTTGAAGTAGTTTACTGACAATTAATTATTGAGGAAAAATGCAATGGCTATTATTTATTGTTAGTTGAAGTTGCCATATTAATTTTTGGGCAGTTGGATTTAGTAGACATCGTGACTTTGACATTGTTATTTTGGTGTCTTTATATATATTGAGGATATTCATTTGTAATGATTAGTGAGTGTTTATTGTAATGGGTTGAACTTATTCACTTGTTAGGATATGTACTTCTTCTACTTGTGAGTGTTTGTAATAATTGGTTGAAACTATTCATTTAGTCCGCTAATATTAATTGGTTGGCACCTAAATTTAGGATATTTCACTTGGCCAATTTCAGAGTTCAAAGTTGTTGCCCGAGGAAGATAGACAACGACGGGCACATTCAAGGAGGTCAACTGGATGACAAGCTAGATGATGAGGAGCTCGATAACATCCTTATGTACGTCGTATTATTGGGTTTCATGTTCTTTTTCCATGATACACATCAGCAGGTCCCAAGAAGATGAAGAGTACGAGATAGCGCGCTCTCGGGGAGAGATTATGTGCTTGAGATTATTAATGGACATGAAGACCGAATTATTCAGAATATGCGCTTGGATGTTCCTCAATTCCTTCTGCTGTGCGATTTATTGGTTAATTGGGGTTACTGGCATGCATATCCTTCTCAAAGAGTGGGGGTACATGAATCCGTTGCTTTAACCCTAATGTGCCTGAGCCATGATGAGGCACCGGGTGCTAGCCGAGCGGTTCCAGCACTCAACGGAGATGATTGATCGACACGTTTGTCGTGTCTTACGAGTTTTGGTTCGACTAGGTCGTGATCTCGTTAGGCCAAGAAACGTCGATGACACGCATCCAAGGATCTTGAACAATGGTTTGCTCATGCCATTGTTCCGGGTATGTATGTCATTTTTAGTTGGACATGCTCTTTTCTAGTTTCTGGGAGCATTTGGAACTTATATTAAAACTTATTTCACTTCTATAGGATTGTGTGGGAGCTTTAGATGGGACCCACGTATCCGCTTGGTGCAGAGCAGAGGTAAGAGAGAAGTTCAGAAATCGGCATGGCGACTTATCCCAGAATATACTTGCTGTCTGCGATCATAATATGCGGTTTGTCTTTGTTCAGGTCGGTTGGGAGGGTAGTGCTCATGATGCCAGAATTTTCCAAGAGACCTTGCTTGATCCGGGCTCAGGATTTCCAATGCCACCACAAGGTAATTTAATTGATATGCTTTTTTTTTAAAATATGTCCAGTAACGAATTGCTTTTATAATACAAGGCAGTGGGAAATAGTCTCAAATATATTTGACAGGTCTTTGAGCATTTGTTTCCGTAATAAATGAGTAGGGGCCTTACATGAAACCTATGTCATTAAATCAACAGGGAAATATTATGCAGTAGATGCTGCCTACAGAAATATGCCGGGGTTTATGGCTTCGTTTAGGGGTACACGGGGCACACCTCATGAGCGAGCAACTAAAGCGCTGTTCAATAGGCGACATGCATCGGTTAGGAATATTATTGAGCGTACATTTGGAGTTCTTAAGAAGCGCTTTCCAACACTCAAAGGTCCAATGCAGAACTACCTGATAGCAACGCAAAATAATATTGTGCTTGCATGTTGTGCTCTTCACAATTTTATGCGCGATTATGTGCCGAATGACGAGTACTTCAATGAAGAAGCGATAAATGGTGCCTTTGTAGATGCACACATAGCAGGGGAACAAGTGCAGATGGGTCAACCTATCGATATGTCGCAGCAGGACATAGATAACTGGAACGAAGATCGGCGAGCAATGGCGGCGCACATGTATTTGAATGCTAATAACTAGACTCCAGTGCTTGGCCTAGGACCAATAGTGCGTTAAATCAGCTTCCGGTTTGTATTTAATGTTTAATTCACGTTCCTAGTGAATGAGGGATTGCTTTTAATTTGGCTCCAGTTGATTGTGTTATTGCTTGTCCAGGATTTGCACATTTGTATTATATTTGCGGACTCATACTTTACTCTACAACCTCAGTAAGTATTCAGTTTGCCAGTTTAGTTCTTGTTTTTGTGAATGGTGGCGTACGAATAAGTCATGACCCAGTTAAGTTCTAGGCACATTTTTTACAGTGCAAAATTTGGTTGAAACTTTGCCAACTACTTTAGGAAATTGCGGGAGAGGACATAATTTAATGTCCATTATTTTGCAATGACCCGAACGTATTGGCCAATTACACATTTGGACCCTTCGATCCCCTGTTTTGGGGGTGTTACACAAAAACTAGTTTTTGAAATACAATAAAAAATTTTAAAAAGTACTCTAAAAGGTAATCTAAAAATTAGTTTTATTTTTTTTTAAATTTTCAAAAATATCTCAAAATATATTCTAAAAACTTTTCTATTCTTAAATATTTCAAAATATTTTCTAAAAATATTCCAAAATATGCTCTAAAAACTCTGCTACAGTAAAGTTTTTTCAAAAACACCCCCAAAAACAGCTAATCCAAACAGAGCTGTTTTTCAAAAACAGCCCAATCCAAACACATGTGTTTTTCAAAAAATAGAGTTTTTCAAAAACAACAATCCAAACGACAATGCGTGTTTTTAAAAAACTGCTATAGTATTGTTTTTCAAAAACACCCCTAAAAACAGGGAATCCAAACGCAGCCATAATTTTTTCAAAGTTTAGGGGTCAAAATTAAATGAAAGATAAAGTTCAAGGGCCAAAGTGTAATTAATTTAAGGACCTAAGTGAAAGAAATTTAAAATGTTCTGAGCTGCAGTGAAACTACTCCAAAAATCAGGGGCTAAAGTGAAAATTTTGGTTTCTGATTAGGGAATGAAAAAAGCCATCCAGACATCATTTTATTTCTTTGGGCCGAGCACTACCCAAGCTCGGTCGAAAGTCCAAGAGAAGTGAGCAGGCGAGCCCGTCTTTTTATCACTCAAGCCCAACCAAAAAAATGCATAAACTCTGACCTCCTAACCCAAACCGAAACCCAAAAAAAATAAACCAAAACCCATCCCCAATACCCAACCAAAAATAACCACAAGCCCACTTGAAAAAAAATATTAGCCCAAACCATTTTCTTTTCTCTTCTTTTTCTTTTCTTTCTTTTCTTCCTTCTTCCTCCCCTTCTTCACTACCGGGATTGAAGCTCCCTTCTAGCTGGTGGCTATGGCCGCCATCGGCGGCGCTACCGCCGGACCGCCGCCTGACGCCAGCAAATTTTTCGATCACCAAATTTTACCAAAATACACACTCCAATTCGATTTTTAGTGCAAAATCTGTTTTTGAAATTAGTTTTTACAAAAAAAATGACCCGAAAGTGGCTAAAATGCTAAAAAAAACCCAATTTTTTCATTTTTTTTAAAGCACTATAATCACCACTAAAAACCATAAAATTTATGCCAAAACACTCCTTATAACTTCTATATTACAACCATAATTTTTGTTTGACAAGAAAACAACATAAAAGGGGTAAAATAAAGTAAAAACAGCCCCTAGATGAAGAAAAATATTTCAATGCCTTTAAAGCTCAAAACTTCAAAAATTTTAGATAACCCAACATTTTCGGACCTTTGCTAGCTAATGGTCATCTATTTTAGCAAAACATACACACCAAATTCACTCCTTTAATTCATTTTTTATTTAGACATTTTTTCAAACATTTAGTATGCAGACACAAAAGCTACTCTTTTTTTTAACTTTTTTTCATGGGTAATCCCAAAACTTCAACAACATTCGTCGCAACAACAACAAACGAAACCAAGGGACAAATAAGCATCAAAACATGTATTTAATTTAATAAATTAAGGAAAGGAAAAAGCTAGAAAAAGAGAAAAAAGAAATATCTCAATAAAGATTGTAGTCTCTTGACTAAAAATTTGATGAAATTACAAGTTCCAATCCAACCGGTTGCTGTCTCTTTGTTGTGTGTGAGTGTGTTAGGAGAAAAGGAGCCGAGAGGGAGAGAATGAGTGAGATTTGTTTGTGTTGTTGTTAACCAAAAAAATGAGAGTGAGGATTGAGAGAGAACCAAGAGAAGAGTGAGGGAGATTGAGTGGAGTGTTTTTTTTTTTTTTTTTTTGCTTGTCTTGTCTGTTGAGAGAGAAGAAAGAAAGGGCCAAGAGAGTCTCTTTTGAGCCAAAGTCCCGCTTTCTTCTTATGTCTCTGATGGTGTCTTGTCTCTCTGGAAAATGTTGAGTGTTGAGAGACAGAAAAACCAATGGCCGAGAGGTAGTCAAAATGGATTTGGTTTCTTTCAAATGATGACTTTTGCTAAATGAAAAGAAAGGTCACGGGAATTGAGTGTGAAATGGGTTAATAGTGGTTTTGGTAGGGAAAATGATGAAAATGTGCAAGTTTAGTCATGATTTGATTTTGATTTTTTTAAAGATAAACCTACAAAAATGAGACAAAATATACATAAAAATGCAAGAAAATAAATGACTCATCAAATAGAAAATATTCAAGAAAACATAAAATTTGACAAAATTTTGGTGTTTACACAGCAGTAGCAAGAAACCTCAGTTCAAAAAGAAAGAGAGGGAAGCTGCATTTGCTTGGAACTAAGGCCTTTCTCCCCGACCTAGATATCAACAATATCACATCTACTCACCCTGTTACCCGTACCAACCACACTCTTGACCTGTTTATCATACCACTATTAACCATTCTCGACCCTGACCAAATTACTTAAACACACCCGCAACACCATTTCATATTCCTCCACCTAATTTTCAAACTAGGCCTCGCCTTTCTTATAATCCAAGACCTGTTTCACCAGCCAACCAAAATTATAACTATCAACAAACCAATAACACCCAAAATCCAATCCCATACAGAACTTTTACCAATCTAGGTCGGCCCGTTGATCAATTCTATGAACAGTTCAAAATCGCAGGAAAAATTGGTACGATACCTCCTAAAGTCTATCCTAGAGGATTTTCCCTTGGTTATGATGCTCAATCCTTTTGTGCTTATCATTCGGGAGCTCCTGGACATTTAACTGCTAATTGTTGGACACTTAAGCATAAAATTCAAGACATGATTGAGGTCGGGACATAGTTTTAAGAAGGAGAGAGGAGTAAGGACCGAGTGTTAGCAAGAACCCTCTTCCAGCGCACAGGGATACTGTTGGAGTTATTACCATAGATGAGGAAATCGAGGAACCTACTCAATACATTATGGATGAAACTGAGATAATGAGGGTCACTGAAGAACCATTCATATTGGTGGAAGAAACCTTCGCGGTCAAGGGAAAATTGATCCTTTTATCTTAGATGTGATACCTTTTGAATGTGAGCTTTCAGAGCTTGTGGTACTTGAATTGCTTGAACAAACACCTGTTCTTAACCTACAAGAAATTCATGAAATTATAGTGAACCTATTTTATTGATTGGAGGAGAAAAAATGCTGAAGAAGGAGGTGGCCGCCATCACTAGATCTGGAAGAATCATGAGTGAACTTGCAGTTAACGAGCCATCTAAAGCAAAAGAAAATGCCATGCCAACAAAACCAACTGTGACTGAAGAAGAGGCATTTAATTTCATTAGGATGTTGAAAAAAAGCAAGTATAAAGTGATCGAGCAATTGAATAAAATGCCAACTCAAATTTCTATGTTGAATTTGCTCTTAATTTCAAAACTTCATAGAGAAACTCCACTCAAGGTGTTAACTGAACCTCAAGTGCCTAAGAACATTCCGATTAACAAATTCACTCATGTGGTCGAACATATCTGGGCTTCAAATCGGATTTCTTTTTCTGATGAGGATTTAACTTTTGAAGGGATTGGATATAACAAGGCATTGTATATCTCAGTCCGTTATAATGGGAAGTTATTGTCGAAAGTTTTGATAGACAATGGATCTACTTTAAATATCTGTCCTTGGAATATTTTGGTTAAATTGGGATTTCAAGAAACTAAATTTCGACCGTCTGCAACTATGGTGAGGGGATTTGATGGCGGAAAAATAGAATCGATGGGAGAAGTGAACTTAGTATTGGAAATAGGACCTGTCCAATTTCAAATCATGTGCCAAGTCATGGATTTCTCAAATGTTTATAATATTCTACTTGGACAACCCTGGATTCATGGTTCAGGTGCTATACCACTTTCGCTCCATCAAATATTGAGATTTATAGTGAATGACCAATTAATTACCGTGTTTACAGAGGATGATTGTACTATGATCGTCAATCCCGGATCAAAAGAGGAAAGTGATAGAAAAGTTCTGATTTCTCCTCACCATGTGGCTGATATCATTTCAGTAGGTTGGGTATTTAAGGACAAGTCAGTGATAGGAAAGAATTTGCCGGAAGCTAGCGTTATGATGGCTAAAGAAATGATTCAAGGAGGATACAAAATAGGCAAGGGTCTCGGGCATAACTTGCAGGAAATTATAGAACCAATAGAGTTTCAAGGAAAGAAGAACATCTTGGGACTAGAGTTTCAACCTACTGTCAGGGACAAGAAAGAAATGCTGAATCACAAGAGAGCGAAAAAGAAAGAAACTAGGGAGGAAAAGAAAGGGAGCTTTCGGGCAGGGAAAAAAAGGGAAGAAAGAAAAGAGAATAAAGAATCTGGGAAGAGAGCAAGAAAAAGAAAGATTGCAAAGGGATTTGAAAATTTTGAAAAAATTAGGAAGAAACGAAGGAGAAGGAGTTTCGGGGAAGAAGGAAAAAAAAAAAAGAAAAAATCGAGAAAAGAAAGGGCGGAGGCTGAAGGAAACAAGAAAATGGGAGATAGAGAATCTAGGAGGGGCAAGTTTGAGTTGAAAGAAAAGAGAAGAAAAGACTCAAGAGGTGAAAAGTGATAAAGGAACAAAAGGAAAAGAAAATT